AATACGCTTTATAAGCTTTGAGATATCTTCAACGACAACAACTTGCATTTATACTGCACCCTTCATACAGGGCAGTGTCTAGGAACGCTTAACGGTGGCGGAGTCTGACACCAGACTGGGGGGAGGTGACCGTATGCACTGTATGAAGAGGAAGGTCTTCAGTCGTGAACCTGAAGAGGAGGCAAAGCGGAGGGATCGAGGGAGGAGTTCCAGAGTCTGGGGGCATTGTGGCTGAGAGTATGGCCGCCAATGGTGCATGATGATGCCAATGTGACAGGTGCTGTATCAAATCCGAGGGTAGAAGGGCAAGCGCTACCCGGCGTGAGTAAATTGCAAATTGTTGTTGTTGATTATGACACCCTGAGAGCGTGGCCACTAAAGGGAGCTATTGATGGAGGTGGAGATGAGGGTGTTGTGGGGGAATTATCCTGGACCCTGCAGCTCATGGAGGTTGGTCCTGGGCTCAGTGACTGGAGATCAAGTCAGCTCGGAGGATTGAACACACAGGTTGACTGGTGGCCATCAGCTTATGCGGTACAGTGACTATGTACTGTGTGACCTATTTTTTAGGTCGGCCGGGTGTCTGATACACATTGGAAACCCATCACTGTGCTTAAGAGTCTCCAAACCAAACTGAGAATTCCATGCATCCCATCTCCACATGGAAATCCCAGAGATAGATTGTTGGACTGGAATGTGCTCTCTCTCCCTGGAGGGACCCATCCTGCTCACCTAATTCCGGAAAGTATTAGGCGCAGGTTGGCAAGAGCCAAGGCTCGGGGACTCCAGAGTGTGTGTTGGGGGGTAACCGCTGGAGACTAACCTTCTAAAACAGCATAACTTGCCATTGATAGCACTCTCTGGCAAACCTTCCCGCTGCTTGTCCAGCTAGGAACCACCCTACCCGTTTTGGGCTTTGGCTTGCAGGGTTAACAGGTTAAAGTGGTTGTTGATTGCGTGGTGCGAAAAGTTGCTGGGAGCTGTCGAGGGACTCAGTTGTCCTGATGGTCTGCGGAGTAATGTAAAATCTTTTACCGATAATGGCTTTGAAGAATTGTATAGGTATCACTGGCGTCCAATAGCTGTTCTCTCTCAGCCATTGCTTCATCTTAATTGCACCTGAACGCTGATCAAAGGGTGATTGCAGCTGTGAGATTCGGCAAATCGGATGATTCATATCTGCAACCTTTCTGCTCTTTATTCCTGTTGTGCTAGTAACAGTGTGTTCCAATCTGCCTGGCCTCCTTATAAATATTCAGATTCCAGTTCCTCACAATGTGAATCTCGCACAAAGCTTTCTTCTCAGTCTCTCTCTCTCCTCACTCTCTCTCTCTCTCTCCTCTTCAATCGCTGGTTTACAATGCCAGGAATAATCATCAAAAAACTGGTGTATTGCTCCCAAATCTTAATCTCTCTCTCTCACACACACATCCCCCACCCCCCACCCCCCCCACACACACACACTTCTCGTTGTCAGCCTTGATCCTTCGCTCATGCTCTTGAGTCTGAGCTCAGTCTAAGATGACACTCCAATGCAGAGCTGGGAGCGTTGCTGCGTTGCTGGAGAGTTGCCGCCTTTCGGATGAGTCGTTAAACCGAGGTCCCGTCTGCCTGTTCAGGTGGACGTTTAAGATCCCAATGGCGCTATTCGAAAAGAGAAGGGTGTTTCCCCCAATGTTCCTGGCCAACAATCCCCCCAAAGATAAATCGGTCACTTACTGCGTGGCTGGTTGTGGCACAAACTGGCTGCTAAGTTCATCTGCTAAAACACACAGTAACAATTTTTACAGTGAATTGCTTTCATCCTGACATGAAAGATGTTATATCAAATGTAAAGCTTATCATTATTAATAATACCGAAGTGGTGACTGTTGGCCTGGTGGTATAATAGGTTCTGGGTTGTCAGGGGAGTGAAAGGTATGTTTATCTTGCGCAGATGTGTTTCAGAGTCTGACATTACTTGTTTGAAATTATTCTTTGCCATATCTTTTGTGCGTCCGTCGCTGAGTAAATAGACAATCAAAAGGTTCCTGTATAACAAAGCTGGCGTGTATGGTCAAACCTGGAGCTGTTGTTTGCCTTAACCAGCCAAAAACAAACACAATTTACACTCACGCCCTCCGTCTCGTCTCCTTCCTTTCCCGTCTTCAGACAGCTTCCTCTCCACGGCTCGGTGTTCAGCTCCGCCACTGATAAGCGCTCTGAGATGCTAACCCAGCCTTATCACATCGGAGGGACAGCTCAAAGCGCTTCACAGGATTTATTTGAAATGAAATGACTGCGTATTTGTAGGCAAACATGGCAGCAATGTCGCACAAACAGCCATGAAACGAGTGACCGATTTTATTTGTGGAATTGTTGGCCAGAACACCTGAAGAGAGAAACTCCCTTCTCTTTTCAAATAATAATAATAATAATAATAATCCTTGCAATTGATTTAAAGCCTTATCACGTCTTCAAGACATCTCAAAGCGCTTCGCAGAATGTACTGTGAAGTGAATTGTCTGCATTATTGTGGGCGAAACAGTCATGGATTGAGCGACCGATTTTTTTTAAAAAAAAGGAATTATAACCCCTGGGAAAGTGATCCGCCAATCGACTAACAACCTCCTACTTATTGCTAATACGCCTCAAAGACTAGTTTGCAAATGAATAGTTTTTGTTCTTCGCCAGGCGAGCAGCACAGAGCGGGGCTGTGAGTGTGTACAGTACTGATTGCTCTCTGTCGGGTTAATAAAGGTATCAGCATCTTAATGAAGGTCAGCAACTGGCTATTCATTTAAAGGAGTCCGTGTGTCCGGATCGATACGCAGACCTTTCAAACCACCCTCTCCTGTGTGTCTGGGGAGGTGAAGGTGCTGTGAGAGTGCGGCTGGGCCATGTCATAACAATAATCCGTAAACTTAATACAGTGCCTCCCTCTCACATCCAGAGGACGTCTCAAAGCGCTTTTCAGGATTTTTCTGCAAAGTGCAGTGACTTGTGTGTGTTTTATAGTTAAACGCGGCAGCCAATTTGCCCACAGCAATGTCCCACAAACAGCCGTGGAGTGAGTGACCAATTTTATTTGGGGGAATTGTTGCCCAGGACACAGGGAGAGAGAAAACTCCCTTCTCTTTTGAAATAGTGCCGTGGGATCTTTAACATCCACTTGTACAGGCAGATGGGGCCTCAATTTAACATCTAATCTGAAGGTCAGTACTTCTGACAATGCAGCTGACCCATAACAGTGTGAGTGTTAGAGACATTAGTATTGGTATTAATATCAGTGTTAATATTGATCTCTTCAACGTGAAAAGCGTTATACCAGTGTAATTTGTCGTTGTTGTTAATATTACAAACACACTCACACTTACAAACACACGATCACTGCAATTTCAGGTAAATCCTGTGACACGCTCTTGAGATTGTCTCAACAAAAGGCGTTGGATCAAATGTAAAGAGTATCATTGTTAACAAGGATCGGGGTGAAGGGCAGGGCTTTGGGATTAGAAAACCTAATAAACAGTGGAACAAGCTGCAGGGTCTGAATGGCCTGCTGATTTGCTCAGTCTCTGATCGATCACATGCCTCGTTCGTTGCAATTTCGTCTGGTAAAGGTCAGTTCAAATGAAATTCTTTGCTTGCGGCGACACCGACACACGCGAGTGAGCAAAGTGAGAGCAGCCGAGCCTAGCGGGTCTACACGGACCCCACGGTGCTGTCCACAAAGAGAAGGGCTCTCTCTCCCGGTGTCCCGGCCAACAGCCCCCCACATACAATTGGTCACTTTACTTCTTATAATAATAATAATAAATAATAATAATTCTTGCATTTGATGTAGCGCCTTATCAGGTCAGAAGGACATCTCCAAGCACTTCACAGGATTTACTGTACTGTAAAGTGGAGTGACTGCCTATTTTGTGGGCGAAAGCAGCAGCACAATTGAGTACAGCAGTGTCCTACAAACAGCCGTGAAGTGAGTGACCAATTTTATTTGGGGAATTTGTTGGCCAGGATACCAGGAGAGAGAGAAACTCCCTTCTCTTTTCGAACAGTGCCATGGGATCTGCCTACAAAATACAGTCACTACACTCTAAAGTACGTCCTGTGTGGCATTCTGAGACTTCCTCTGGACATGAAAGGCCCAGGAGCAAATGCAGCGATTATTATTGTTATTACACCGATCGCTGGGGTACGGTCAGTGTATCGCGGGGCCTACTTGCTCCCGTCTGTGGTGATTTCCCTGATTTGCTTTGACAGCAGCCGGTGTCTTGTGTGGTGGTGACTGAAAGGTGACACTGGGCAGGACACATCCCTCGTTCCCTCACGCCCTATCTGCCTGTTGCTCCCCCATCCCTCCCCACCCCGCTCATTGCCCTGCCCCCTCCTGTCTGCTCGCCCTCCATCTCCACTCCGCTCTCACATTCCATCGCTCTCTCTACTCGCGGAAGCCTTTGATTTTCACCTGAGCTTTGATTTCCAACTGAGAGAGATTCCCACTCGGACAAAAGTGCTGCAAATTAGAACCACGGCTCCGCTGGCGGTTGCCTCGCAACAGCTGAATGCTTTTGCCTTCGGGATGAATGGTTCAATTAACCTGAAGGCTCCCGGCCTGTCGGTCTCGCTCCCTCATCGCTGAACCATAGTTTTGTTTAGTCAATGAGCCGGTCGGGACCAACAGGAAGTCAGATTAGATCCCAAACTCACAGCGAACAGCGGGACAAAGTGTGATCGCAGCTCGCGCAGGAGACACGTTGACAAGACGCTCACACACCAGACTGGGCCAGTGAGTTTGGTCACTCACTCAATCTACGGCTGTTTTGTGGGACGCTGCTGTGTTCCTCCCACAAAACACACAGTCAATTCATTTCACAGTACGTTCCGTGGAGCGCTTTGAGGCGTCTCAATGCCGCGATGAGGAGCTATTATCAAAGGCAAGGATTATTATCACTATATTCTAATACTATGATAGTAATACGGTGTGTGCGCGGGTGGGGGAGGGCTGGCTCTGTTCACATTTAGGAAATGTTGACGATCTCCGCAGACCACTCGTTGAATGATTTAAATTGATAGAGTTGGACGCGTGCCTTCTTCCTAAAACCGCATATTAAACCTGCCTGTTGACGGAGGTTCATGTATGTGATAGCGAAAACTAATCCATCATTAAACAGGCACTGAAATATTTGCGTTCCCCCCCCCTCCCCTCCCCCCCCCCCACGCCGTGCTGGGCAGTATTCAGTGTGGTGTACTGAGAGTCACACTGACAGACTCGGCACGGGGGGGGAGAGAAGGAGAGACCAGCGCAGTGCCCGGGTGGGAGGCGGGTGGGAGGCGCTGTATTGTCAGAGGTGCCATCCTTCCGATGAGACGTTAAACCCTGTGTGATGGGCGCTATATAAATGCAAGTTGTTGTTGTTGTTGTAAACCGTGTCCCTGTTCAGGTGGACGTTAAAGATCCTGTTGCACTGTTCATAAAGAGGAAGTGGGTTTCTCTCGCCCGGCCGGTGTCCTGGCCAGGAATCCCCCACATACAATTGGTCGCTCACTCCGTGACTGTTTGTGGGACGTTGCTGCGCGCGGACTGGCTGCCCGCCGCGTTGGCCTACGAATATACAGCCGCTACACCTTACAGCGTATCCTCTGAGGCGCTTTGGGGCGTTTAGGCGACATGATAAGGCGCCCTATCACATGTGAGGATTATTGTTGTTTGCAGCTGCTTTGCGTTGGCATCTCTCGGTCCACCTTGTGGGCCCTCCAGAAGGTTCCGTCCGAGACGTCTCCTCGCGAGAGTGCCTGGCCCCGGCTTGCCCCTCCGAGAGTTGTGGGGGAGAGATTTTCAGAGCGTAGGCTCGGCTCCCCCAGTGCGGAGTGTGTTTATGCCGGCGCACAACTCTCTCTCTCTCTGGAGTGAGTGACGTGGGCAGCGGGCCAGCTATCTGCAAACAAACAAAAAAAAAACCCTGCGTGCTCCTGGCCCATGTCAGGGCGGTTTGTCTTTCCAGGCTGACGTCCGTCACTCGCTCTCCCCGGCACCACGTCTCCCCCCCCCCCCCCCACATTCCACAAGGTGTTTCCACGGAGATGGTGGTGGTTCAAGCGTGAGATGCCGGGATCAGGACGTGACAAACTTAAATTGCGAGCCAGTGCGCACAGCCACGCCCAGACCACCTCACACACTGCCTGTCTTCGCTCGCTCGCTCGCCTGGCCCAATGCTCGCCGCCGAGTCGCAAAGTGGCGGGTTTCAGCCCCCCCGCCCCCCGCGCGTCGGAGACCTTCGCGCACGTGTCGTCTCTGGGCTGACGCTCCAGTGAGGTGTGCTGGGAGAGCGGGGCAGCGGTACACCCTCTCACCTCTGCGACGGACGGTTGTGGGTTTCGGGTCTGGCGTCGCGACTTGGAATCATGTAGTCTAAGCTGACGCTCTGGTGCATCGACGGGGCCGTGTGCCCCGTTATCGGAGATGACCACCCTACGGATGAGACTTCAAACCGAGGCCCCCGTCTGCCTGTTCAGGCGGACGTCAAAGGTCCCAGGGCGCTATTCGAAAAGAGCAAGGAGTTTCTCTCTCTCTCGGTGTCCTGGCCGACAATCTCACCCCCCCACCCCCAGTTAAAATTGGTCACTCGCTCCGTGGCTGTTTGTGAGACGTTGCCGTGTTGCGTGACAGGTCTGACATTTGATCGCAAAAGACTTTCTCCTGAAATAATAGGAAGCAATTTTGCAAAACTTTGAGGATCTCCTATGACTTGACGGACGGCCTGCGATGGCGTAAAATCAATTTTTTCGGTTATGTCAAGGACGCCCGCAGTGCAACAAAGACTGTGAACTTTGCGCTAATCAGACTGCAGACATTTGAATATCGTAATAAGCCGTGACAAACAAATTCGGAAAGGGTATATTGATGCCGGCGGGAAATTACACAGGGACACTCAGGAGAAAGCCAACAAAAGGTCCTTGCTGGAGGACATATACAGCAGCGTTGTGTACGGATTCGCCCCTTCCCCTCACTTCAGGCCGAATGTCACCAACCGAGATTTACTGAGATGATACCAAGGACGAGATGTCTGCCTGGGGCTCAGTCACGTGGTAACACTCTCGCCTCGAGTCAGAACTTTGAACAGCCCTCGGGGTGGGGTGGGGGGTGTTGCACTGTCGGAGGTGCCGGCCTTCTGATGAGACGTTAACCCGAGGTCCCGCCTGCCTGTTCGGGTGGACATTAAAGATCCCTTGACACGCTATTCAAAGAGCGGAGGGAGTTGCTCTCTCCCCGGTTCCTGGTCAAGAATCCCCTGACGTGGTTGACCGGAAACAAGTGCTTTATAAAAAAAGTGCCATTTCTGTCCTTCTCCCAACAAAGTGAACACAAGTCAAAGGTGAAGTGAGACTTTATTATACAGCCCACACAGTCTAACCGGTTTCCCCCCATCGGGCTCTGAGGTCTCATACGGATTCAAAGTACAACAGTGTTAACATGACAACAACCAACGACAAGCTACAGCAAATGGTCTCTTAATAAACAGGAAAGCAGCAGATTGAGACAGGAGCAACTGTCTATAGCCAGGAGCTCGAGACTTTATACACCTTCCTCCCCCCCTACAAAATACACAGTCACTTCACTTTACAGTAAAACCCCATGAAGCACTTTGAGACATTTAGATGTGATAAGGCGCTATTATCACAAATGCAAGGAAAATGATTATTATTATTATTAATAATAATAATAAGAGATGTCTTTCAAAGAGCGGGCACAGGCATGACGGGCTGAATGGCCTCCATCTGCACTGTTAAGATTCTATGATTCTGTGCAATTGTGAAGGATGCAATTCTCTATCGGGACAATGTTTTGAGTCTAACACCAGACGTATGCGCAGCAGAACTAAGCAGATGCCTCTGACCAGGTGAGAGAGAAAGCTTAGAGACCAGGAGCTCGCTGGTTCGGATTGCCATCCATCCTGCATTTCTGGTCTCAGCAGGGTTGCCCGGGGAGGTTACAATTTCTTCAGCCTTCCCAGGGTCAGAGAGGATCAAAGCAAGCCCAGGAGGAGAGGAAGAGAGAGAGAGAGAGAGAGACCAGGAACAGAGAGAGCGAGAGAGAGAGAAAGAGAGAGAGAGGCCAGACCGGAAGCAATGAGAGAGAGAGAGAGGCCAGATGGGGAAGCCACACACCCGCTCGGTCACTCCCGATCCATCTCCCGTAGCATAGTGGTTAGCGCGCTCGCAATCGAGAGGACACAGGTTCAATTCCAGGGTGGGGCGAAACTTTAGGCAAGTTTCCTTACTCCACATGCCTCTGTTTAGCGAGCAGTAAGTAAGAATCCTGTTGTTAGTTGATTGGCGGATCGCTTTCTGGGGGTAATAACCCCTCCAAAAAAAGAAATGTGGTCACTCAATCCACAACTAGTTGTGGGACACTGCTGTGCGCAAATGGATCATGCATTTTGGCCACAAAATACATGGTCAATTCACTTAACAGGATATTCTGTGAAGTGATTTGAGACGTCTCAACGACGTGATAAGCTGTTGTATAGGTACCGGGATTATTATTATTTATCTTGTCTCACTCCCTATCCATCCCATCTCACCACAGGGATCCAGTGTCGGACATTCTGTCGTGCGAGAATGTATCACGGCTCCACTCAGTGCCTGTGAGGACACCGTTCGTTTTACTCCTGATGTCCCGTTGATGAAGGTGAGATACGCTTTGCACTTTAAGAATTCTTTTAACGAGAGCAGCCTCTCAAGACAGGCTCGTGAGGGGTCGGTCCCTCTGAGCTCTTCAGCTGCACGGTGCTTATGGCAAAGCGGACAGCATTAAGTCTTACTGCTGTCAGCCTGGCTTGGCTGCCAGCGAACTCGCCTCGGTATCAGAAGGTCGTGGGTTCCATCCTCATGTCAAGGACTTAAAACTCATAACAGTTTAAGGCAAGTGGGTTCAACCTTTTGGCTGTGGAGAGCTGGATGCCAGATTTCAGAGACGTCCGTGGGCTGCACAAGCAATATGTTATCCTGGTTGACCAGTCCCATTGCTATATGTTATCCTGGTTGACCAGTCCCATTGCTATATGTTATCCTGGTTGACCAGTCCCATTGCTATATGTTATCCTGGTTGACCAGTCCCATTGCTATATGTTATCCTGGTTGACCAGTCCCATTGCTATATGTTATCTTGGTTGACCAGTCCCATTGCTACATGTTATCCTGGTTGACCTGTCCCATTGCCGGACAGAACCACCTCCTTAGGGGCTTCGTGTATTTGCTCGTCAGACAGTGAAGTTAGAACTGGTTCAATCAACTCCTGGGCCGGATGTGGCCCATTGGGCCACGAGTTGACCTTCCTGGTAAGGTAACACTCTAGTGCGGTGTTGGGGAGGGGGTTGTGCATCGGTTTGAGACACTTTAAGGGGCTATACCAAATGCAAGTTGTTTTAAAAAATATTTAACAAGAAAGGGTCTCCGTATCAAGCAAACGTGAGGTGGGTGATGAGCAGCAGAGAATCAGTCGTACGGGCAGAGCCACACTTTGTTCTGCGTTTTTTGTTCTATTTCTCCCACATCGAAACCGGGCTCAGTACGTAGCAGTACTCTCGCCTCTGAATCAGCAGGTTGTGGCTTCCGTTCCCACGTCAAGGACTTGGAACTCACATAGCCTAAGACAAGGGTGGCCAACATCCAACTCAGTCATCTCATTCCCATTGGCGGGGCACATCAGAAACAGTCACTACATCTCAAAGTGACTCCCTGTGGGAGTGAGGACCACACCTACATTTGTTTCTATTCCTCGCGCAGCGAAAGACCCCCAGAAGAGGGGCTAGATCCAACTCATCCACCTCATTCCCTTTGGTGGGGGGTGTTGTTTTGAAGAGTCACTGCACCTCAAAGTGACTCCTTGTGTGGGGGTGGTGACGCCTTGGGTGGGGAGCGGGGGTGGGTGGGGCGGGGATGCGTGTTGGGGCGGTGCTTTAATCGGTTGTCTCTCCCGCGGGCTGGCTAGGCAGCTTCATCTCCAGCCGGCCCAGCTTGTGCGTCAGGACCATGGGGGAGTTGAGGTGGAGTCGGGAGGTGCGGCTGGAGGTGGTGCTGTTGGCCTGGTTCTTGCCGAGCTGTAGGAGATCTCCCAGCCGGAGCCGCAGCTTGTGGTGCAGCGAGGCGTAGATAAAGGGGTTGTAACAGGCGGAGCTCATGGCCACCAGGTGGCAGCAGATCTGGATGACGTTCGTGTACCTCTTGCCCATGATGGTGAAGTCCAGGTCGATGTCCCTGATCAGATTGACGGTCTGGAGGGGCATCCAGCAGAGGGCAAAGGCCAGGATGGAGATGGTTAGCCTGCGGAAAGTCTTCCTCTTCCTGCTGCTCCACCTCTCCTGCCCGCACACGGCAGCCCCCGGCACTCTCCTCTTCCTCAGGTGGCGGCCGATGGCGCAGTAGGAGATGGAGACGGTGCAGAGCGGCAGCATGTAGAACAACAGCAACACGGAGCAGGAGTAGAGCAGACGCAGCCTCTCCAGATCGTTCCAGAACTCCTCGCACACGATCATATCGTGGCCCGTCCGGTTGAGGTCCAGGTAGCGTGTGTGCAGCGAGGCGGGGGCCGAGATGGCGAGGGACAGCAGCCAGATCAGGACCACCACGTAGGCACAGGAGCGCGGCCGGATACGGCGATGGACGGGGTAAATCACCACCACGTACCGGTCCACGGCGATGGCGGTTAGCGACAGCACCGACACGAAGACGCTGGCCGCCTGCATGAGGGTCACAAAGTGGCACATGAAGACCCCAAAGAGCCAGCCGCGGCGCTCGAAGGCGTAGGAGACGGTGAGCGGCACGCACAGCAGACACATGACCAGGTCGGAGGCGGCCAGGTTGCCGATCAGGAAGTTGGTGGTGTTGTGCAGCTTCTTGGTGGTGGAGATGAGGAGCACCAGCAGGGAGTTGCCCACACAGGCCACTACCACCAGCACCGCATACAGCAGGAGGAACAGCGGCTTGAGCCTGTTCAACAGCTCCAGCCCGACGAAGGAGGGCCCCAAGCTCCCGCCGTCGCCAGCCACTGTCACGTTCACACCCGCCTCCATGTCTGTCCCCGGCTCAGGACATCCCGTCTGCTCCTGGACACAGAAGGGGAAACCAGATACAAATAATAATAATAATAATATTAATCCCTGCATTTGTTATCAGGTCACTGAGACGTCTCAAACCGCTTCACAGAATACACTGTAAAGTGTAGTGACAAACAGTCCTGGATTGCGTGACCAATTTTTTTTTTATTTGGAGGGGTTATTACCCCTGGAAAGAGATCCATCCATCGCATGACAACTGGGTTGCTGCTTACTGCCAGGTACACAGAGGCGTGTGGAGTAAGGAAACTCGTCTAAGGTTTCGCCCCGCCCGGGAATCGAACCCGGGTCCTCTCGCTTGCAAGGCCAGCGCGCTAACCACTACCCTACGGAGCTCTATAGCTCCCTGTAGTGGGGGCGCTTCGGAGGGATTTATACACGGAGAGAGGCCGAGGGAGCAGCTGTGTGTAAGATTGGGGCAGGTTTCCCGGTGCGGAGGCGAATATCCCGGGTGTTAGACTGACTTTGACCCGGGTCCTGGGACACCCTCCAATTTGAGTCCCGTAAGAGCACCACCTGCTGGCTCCCCCAGTTACTGCACCCTGTCCAGCGCCCCCTCAGAGGCTGTCGTGCTTCCCGGTGTGATCGGAGGAACGATAGCGTCACTCTCTATCTGGCTGCTTGTCATGCACTTTGGCTGAGACGGGGCCGGTAGGCGATGCTGTCTTTTAGGAGAAACCGCGGGTAGCGCTCTCACCTCTGAGTCAGAAGGTCGTGGGTTCAAAGCCCACATTGGGACTTGGAATGACATAGTCTAAGCTGACACTCCAATGCAGTGCTGGGGGGGGGTGTCGTCCTTTGGATGAGACTTTATACCTGAGGTCCCACCTGTCTGGTCAGGTGGATGTTAAAGATCCCACGGCACTATTTAAAAAGAGAAGGCAGTTTCTCTCTCCCGGTCTCCTGGCCAACAATCCCCTAAATAAAATTGGTCACTCGCTCCATGGCTGTCTGTGGGACACTGCTGTGAGCAAATTAACTGCCCCATTTGCCCACAAAATACACAGTCACAGTTATGTACATTTTGAGATGTCTCAATGACATGATAAGGATGATTATTATTAAACTTTGGAACACTCTACCTCAATCTCTCTGCCTTAACCCCCCCCACCCTTTCCCCTCTTTCAAGTGCCGCCTGAAAACTTTCCTCTTCGACCGTGTATACGGCCAACTCCCCCCTGGCTCGGAGTCAGGCTCTGCCACTGCGAAGCGCTCTGGGACCCTTCCCTGTGTGGAGGGCGCTATATAAGGGCAAGTTGTTGTTGTTATCGGCAGACTCGGAGTTAGAGCTGAGCAGATGTAAGCAGGAAGTGTCGTGCTGGCAAGCTGCGTGCTTACCATTATAGCTGTCATGACAGCTGTTTGGACTCCAGTTTCTCTAAGCCTTGGCTCTCACCAACCTGCACCTAATACTCTGTGGCATTGGGTAAGCAGGTGCGTCCCCCTAGGGTGAGAATGCGTTATCCGTACCAGACGCAGAGACATTTCCATGCGGGTAATATTCCCTCCGCCTCGGCCCCCCCCCACCTTAATATTAATAATAACCTTGCCTCCTTCCTCTTTGATAGGCGTGATAGGCGCTATATCAAATGCAAGGATTATTATTATTATTGTTGATTTCAACCCTCAGCTCAGAAGCAAGTCTTTAACTGTGCCTTGGGACGTCCTCCTGCCGTGAAAGACGCCATAGAAATGTAATTTGTTGTTGTTGTTGTTTGGTGTGGAGCTCCAGGTGTAAGTATTGCAATGAGTCTCTTGTTCGTGATAGGATATACTGTAGTAGTGACTTGTGGGCGAAACGCAACAGCTAGTTTGCGCGCAGGAATGTCCCATGAGGCGCTCTACCAAATGCTTACACCACAGGCTGACCAAACATAAAAGTTAGCGTAATACACAGAGTAGAAGCACGTACCTGCTTGAGGTGAGCACTGGACGTTCTGGCCTCGTTTTGAGGGGAGCGCGGTGAGTGAGTGACCTGCCAGTCGCAGCGTAGCTCGGATCAGTCTGTCGCGCTGTAGCTTTGAAGCTCTCCCGGACCCTACCCCGCGTGCAGGGCAAGTTGTCGTCGTAGCTCTGATCAGTCACAGTGTAATTCCCAGTCTCAGTCACTGTGTTGCTGTGCTCGGAGTCTTGGCTCGCTCTGAGCCAAGGGGGAGTGGCAGCTCAGTCACATCATTGAGACAAATGGAGCAGTGACGGGCTCGGTGAACGAGGCTGCCTGGGATTGTGGAGCTGGACTGTGGATCAGGACTGAGTGTGGGGCTGCTCTGCTGATCTCCAAGCGAAGCTGGAGAGTGTTCAGTGTAAAATTATGGAGCTGGATTCCCTCTGCGATAGGTTAGAGAGCCGGACGGGGGCTCAGCGCTGCATCAACAACAGCTTGCATTTACACAGCGCTCCTCGTACGAGGTTCGTGTCTCCGAGCGCTCGACAGTGGAGGAGCCTGACGCCGTGCTGGGGAGAGCTGACCGTTAGGCTCGCCCGAAGGAGAAGGTCTCTAGGCATGACCTGAAGATGTGGAGGGAGGGAGAGGGCAAGGCAGAGGGGTAGACGGAGAGTGTTCCAGAGTTTTGGGGGCATAGTGGCTGAAAGAATGGCCACCAATGGTGGAACGAAGGCCACGAGGGACAAGCAAGAGGCCAGAGCCAGCTGAGCAGAGGCGGCGGGTAGTGGATTGGGAAGTAAGCAGGTCAGAAAGGTAGGGAGGTGCCCGGGCATTAACGGATTTGAAGACGAGTGTGAGGATCCTGAAGTCGATTTGTTTTGTGGGGCTCAGAGCTCCATCGTGGGCCTCAGAGCTGCATTGTGGGGCCTCAGAGCTCCATCGTGGGGCACGGAGCTCCATCGTGGGTCACAGAGCTCCATTGTGGGGCTCAGAGCTCCATCGTGGGCCTCAGAGATGAACTGTGGGCCTCAGAGCAGCACCATGGGGCTCAGAGCTCCATCATGGGGCTTAGAGCAGCACCGTGGAGCTCAGAGCTCCATCATGGGACCCAGAGCAGCACCGTGGGGCTCCATATGTTTGACTGTTAAGCGTCCTGTGTTTTGGCGGCACAGAATTGGATTGAATTGCTCACTCCACACTGACTCGCTCAGTATTCAGGGTGTGAGCTGTGGTCTCAGCGCCATCTCCTGGTTTACTGGTGAAAGCATCAACAGAGTTTGTCCGTTCAACAAATTCGATCGCCAAAGGGCTTTGAAACGATGCTCACATTTGCTATCGCACCTTTTCACGTCGTCGAGACATCTCGAAGAGTTTCACGCGATTTACTGTAAAGACTGGATTTCGTCCACAAAATATACAGTCACTTCACTTTACCATATATTCTGTGAAGAGCGTTGAGATGTCTCGAAGACGTGATAAGGAGCTATCGAGCTGCTTCCCCAAAATACTCCCACCGCTGTCCTCTACTCTCCATTACTCCAGCTGGGTCTTCCTCTCCCACCGCCCGTGTATAAAGGGAAGCGATTAGCAAAAGTAAATGTGGGTCCCTTACAGGCAGAGACAGGAGAAATTATAATGGGGTATAAAGAAATGGCAGTCACTAAACAAATATTTTGAGTCTGTCTTAACGTTAGAAGATACTAAAAACTTACCAAAAATAGTGGAGAACCAAGAAACTAATGGTAGTGAAGAACTTAATATCAGTAAAGTAATAGTACTAGATAAATTGATGCGACTAAAAACTGACCAATCCTCTGGACCTGATGGCCTGCATCCTAGGGTTTTAAAAGAGGTGGCGGCAGAGATAGTGGATGCATTATTTTTGATCTTCCAGAATTCACTGGATTCTGGAATGGTTCCCATTGATTAGAAGATTGCAAGTGTAACGCTGCTATTTAAGAAGGGTGGGAGAGAAAAAATGGGGAACTATGGTCCAATTAGCCTGACATCGGTGGTAGGGAAAATTCTACAGTCTATAATTAGACTTATAATGACTCTGAGCAGAGTCAACACGCTTTTATGAAAGGGAAATCGGGTTTAACAAATCTTTTTTTTTGAAGATGCAACTAGCAGGATAGGTAGGGGGGAACCAGTGGATATAGTGTACTTGGATTTTCAGAAGGTATTTGACAAGGTGCCACATTAACGCTTGTTACATAAGATTAGGGCTCATGGAGTTAAGCGTAATATATTAGCATGGATCGAAGACTGGTTAACAGGCAGAAAAGGGAGAGTAGGGATAAACGGGTCCTTCTCAGATTGACAGGTTATGACTAGTGGAGTGTCACAAGGATCAGTGTTTGGGCCTCAACTGTTTACAATCTACATCAATGACTTAGATGAAGAAATAGAGCTTAATGTATCTAAATTTGAGTATGATACGAAGCTAGGTGGGAAAGTAAGCTGTGAGGATGATACAAGAAGCATGCAAACAACAACAACAAGATTACATTTGTATAGCGCCTTTCACGTCGGGGGGATGTCCCAAGGTGCTGGATAGTGTACAGCATTTCAGCATTTCAGTGTATAGCAAAGGGTTATAGACAGGTTAAGTGAGTGGGCAAGAAGGTGGCAGATGGAGTATAAGTGGGAAAGTGGAAGTTATTCACCTAGATAGAAAAATTAGAAAAGCAGATTATTTTCTTGAGGGGGAGAGACTAGATAGTGTTAATATTCAGAGGGATTTAGGTGTCCTTGTACACCAATCACAGAAAGTTAGTATGCAGGTACAGCAAGCAATTAGGAAGGCTAATAACGTGTTAGCGTTTATTGCAAAGGGGTTAGAGTACAAGAGTAGGGAAGTCTTGCTACAATTGTATATGGCCTTGGTGAGACCCCACCTAGAATATTGTGTGCAGTTTGGGTCTCCTTATCTAAGAAAGGATATACTCGCCTTAGGTTCACTAGTTTGGTTCCTGGGATGAGGGGATTGACCTTCGAGGAGAGGTTGAGTAGACTAGGCCTATATTCTCTAGAATATAGAAGAATTAGAGGTGATCTTATAGAAACCTAT